CTAACATTTTATGTTTTTAGTGTTTTCATAAACTAATTAAATTTAGTATATTAGATATTATAGGTATTCATTAATTACTGTATATTTGATGACATTTATTATGTGTTATAATTATGTTATAATGTTATAATAACTATTTATCAATTAAAATAGCATATTTGTTGGATGATTAATATCTATATATAATATTAATATACAAACATTTTATATATTAAATAATATTGATTATTATAGTATTAATAATTATTGTTATTTTAAATTTAATTATAACATGAAATATATGAAATTATTTTAAACTATAACCTTTAAAATTATTACTTATTATTATTATTATTATTATATATGAAGTGAATTAAATTCTAAACAATTAATATAACAATCGGTCGGTGAATCATATGTCTGTTTGGCCACCAATTACTGTCCAATTGATGGTCACTTAAGCCAATACGGTATAAATGATAGGCCGACCACTTGTAGCAAACATTTGCCGGCAATATCTTTACAGTCGAAAACATATTTTTTTAAAATAATTATTTTAATTCTATATATTTTATTATTTAGTTTTACAATAAAATTGCTTGAATTCAATTTATTTTTATAAAATAAACTTAATGTACTGAATAGTTATATATTGTAATTACGTAATAATATAATTACGTTATAAATTGTTTTTCTAATATTTTATGTTTTTTTAAATTTTATCTTAAAGTAATTAAATTTAATATAATTATTATAATATATAAGATATTATAGGTATTCATTTATTACTGTATATTTGATGACATTTAAATTTTCTATAATAACTATTTATCAATTAAATAGCATATTTATTGGATCTAAATTATATTAATATACATTATATATATATTATATATACAATTGTATAAATGTATAAATAATTATAATAATATTGATTATTAAATTATTTAATATTTAATAATTATTGTTATTGTACTGTTATTATAACATGAATTCAAAATTATTTTAAAACTATAACATTATTACTTATTATTATTATTATAATATATATGAATTGAATTGAATTGAATTGAATTAAATTAAATTAAATTAAATTAAATTAAAAATACAGTTATTTAATTTATTAACATAATAATTTAGAAATAACTCAATTTATATAATTACTAAATAAATACTGAAAATATATATATATAAATATATCAGGGTTGCTAAAGGTTCTCGATTTCAGGGGGGTATAGGGTAGGGTAAAATGGCAAAAATCTCGAAAAAGCTAAGGGGGGTATAGGGTGGGTGAACATTTTTTATTGCATTTTTAAACGACAATTTTTGCCAAATTTGAGTAAATTCCCAATAAATTCCCAATAAATTCCCATTAAATTCCCATTAAATTCCCATTAAATTCCCATTAAATTCCCATTAAATTCCCATTAAATTCCCATTAAATTCCCATTAAATTCCCATTAAATTCCCAATAAATTCCCACTATATTCCTATTAATTCAGACTAAATTCCCACTAAATTCCCATTAATTCCCTATAAATTTTCAATAAGTTCTCACTAAATTAACTACTAAAAATATTCCAAACTTAATTTCTCAATACTCAATGTTTTCTAAAATTAATATTCATTTTTACAAAAATTTTAAAAATAAAGAAATGAATAAATATATATAACTTATCAATGATATAGTACTGTATTTATAATTATGTTTTAATAATAATAATAATGTAAGAAATAATTATAAATTAACTCTTAATGTTTAAATAATTAAATTTTAAAAATAAATCTACATATAGTATATCACATTGAACACATTTTAATATAAAGTTTAAAAATATTAAAATATAATAATTTTAAAATTTATGCAAAAAATTTGTTTTCTACTTTTAATATGAAATAATATATATATATATATTATCATTTATAAAAAACTAAAAAATAAAATAAAATATATTTCATTTTTTTGAAAATTGGTGGGAATTTATTAGGGAGCTTTTTTCCCTTGTGGAATGCCCCAACTCTATTTGTGTAATATTTAGTTAATATCATAATTATTATTTTTAAAGCACATAACTAACACATTTTAATATAAAGTTTAAAAATATTAAAATAAAATTATTTTAAAATTTATGATAAAAATTTTAGTTTTCGACTATTAATAAGAAATAAAATATATATAAACAGCTAAAAAATTAAATAAAATATTATCATTATTTTTTTTGAAAATTGGTGGGAATTTATTTTTTAGCTTGTGGAGTGCCCCTACTAGTGTAAATAATGTTAAATTGATGTTATTAAGTATTGTTATCTATTTATTTTCTATACATAAACTATTAATTTATATTAAAACTAGTTTAATATTTATTTTTTTGCTTAATATAAAATTTTACATAGTTGAAAAAAATTTTCGGCCCCTTTGGCGCCGAAAATTGGTAGGGGGCCCCGTAACTTTTTGGCTTCAGGCCAGGGGGGGGGGGGGTAAAAGCCAAAAATTCTCGATCTCAGGGGGGGGGGTAAGAGCTCTTACTCTACCCTACCCCCCCCCTTTAGCAACCCTGATATATATATACTGTATACAGTATAGATATATAATTATTAAATTGATTAAATTAAAAAACTACTTATAAAAAGATATTACATTTACTATTTAATATTATTTAAATATTCATTGTTCATCTATTTATATAGGTATTTATTTTGGTAAAATATTTTTGTTTAACATATTAATTAAATAAATCTAATATTTATTATTCATATATAACAACAACAACAACAACATAAACCATATATTTTTTTTTATTTATTTAGTTCATTGAAGTGTAGCTAAATTTTTTTGATATAAGATTAAATCAAAATTAATTAAAATTATATAAATTAATTAATATTACTATAGTTAGCTAAATTATTTAAGACTAAAATTATTGAATACATTAATTTATTTTCACGAATTCCTGAAAGGAATACGTATATGCATTCTATAAGTCTGTCTGTCTGTCTGTCTGTCTGTCTGTCGGTCTGTCTGTCCCACGAGGACATAGGTTCGAATCCACTATCCGCTACAATTTTTTTTTGATTTTTTTTTGTTTTTTTTCTTATTTAAGTTTATTTTTTAGGAAATTGAAGAAAATGGTGTCCAAAAATTAATTAAAAAAATTTTGAATTTTTTTTTTAATTTTTTTTAAAATTTTTTTGAATATTGATTTTTTATTTTTTTCGTTTTTAAGTTTTATTTTTTAAGAAATTGAAGAAAATGGTGTCCAAAAATTAATTAAAAAAATTTTTTTTTGATTTTTTTTAAAAATTTTTTTGAATATTGATTTTTTAGGAAAATAGTAGTTTATTTTGTAATACTGAATCATTTGATACCCCACATGACTATAGTTGTTTGTTTTGTCATACTAAATCGTTTGATACTCTACATAACTATAGTTGATTTTATTTTATCATACTGAATTTAATTTTTAATTATGATTAGGAATTCGTGTGGAAATGCTTTCTAGCATTCTCAACTGGTTTAAAATATTTTTTTATTTATAGTATGCTAATACTAGTATATTGATTGATATTTATATAATTTTAGCAAAAATAATATATATATATACTTATAAATTACATAATAAGTTATTATAAATAAAATATTATTTATTTTTTACATTTAGATTTTTAAGGTTAGATAAAATTCAAATCAAAAATAAACTATTTTCCATATTTTTCGGAAACTATTTAAAAATAATTAATGAGTAATATTTATAATAATTATTGAATAATTTTTTATTTATTAAACTAACAATTTTTTTTCATACAAATATTAATGACAATCGGAAATAAATAATTAGTGGTTTTTATTGTTATATAAGTTTTATTTATATATATATAAATATTTAATTTATTCATATATTATGTAATTTAATATTGAATATACAGTATATATATATATATATATAAAAGTGATGATTCATATCTAATAAATTTCAATTGAATAATATTATACTTTACTGTTACTGTAGTAATCGTTGACATTAAAAGTTTATTTATTCATTACATACATTAATTAATAATAAATTAAAACTGTAAAAAAAATTTCTGTTAAACAGTAATGCATATCAAAACTGCATATTTGAAAATTGAAAATCAATATACAGTATAATATATATATATATATATATATATATATATAAATTATTTATGCTTAAAATAATAATTATACATAAATATGACTCATAATTTCATAATAATAAATTTAATAATAATAATAGACATATATTTTAACTTTTATAAAATAAAATGATAGTATGCATTAGTATTTATTAGTGTTTATTATTGATGTTTAAAAATTATAATTATAATAAATATAAATTAATTATATATAGATAACATAATAATATATAAAACTATGATTAAGATAAACAATTTATTTAATTTGTGTCTAGTCTATATATATGTGAGATTTACTTTTATCATGGTACTTTTCATAAATTATAATGATAACTTAAAATTTTTTTTATATATATTATATATCAGTGATTAACATTAAGTGGTATCATGATAACTTTTTTGATAAATGTAATAACGTTATTAATGTTCAAAATTATAATAAATAAAATCATTCATAGATAACCATAGATATGATGGTACATTTCATAAATTATAATAATAATTAAAAAAATCCTATATATAATGTTAATCACTGTTATATATATATATATATATAAAGTTAATCAATGATATATAAAACCCTTATATTTGTAATATACAACTATAGATGTCATATGCATAACTGTAATAAACAGTTTACCAGCAAAAACTATTATTACAGAATATGTATATATAATTTTTTTTTTGGGGGAATAACACGTTAGACAACTTTAAGCTTATGTATGTACACTAGTTTGTAGTACCTGTAGAAGCCCTCTCTCTCATTCACACACCGTTCCTCTCTATCCTATCTACCTGTGTGTACATCAGACACCACTACAGTAATACATACATACATACATAGACACACCAGATTCAGCATACCAGGGGGACATTGCCATAAGGATATACAGTGTGTTGAATGTACATCAACCATCACTACCACCAGTGACAGTGTAGTATCGGTGCTGTAAACATATACATACACACAAAAAATAGTATTTATTTATATATATATATGTGTTTAGACAGCCAACCCAACCAACACAATGTATAGTTGGTTGGCATTTGTGATTTTCACCTGTTATTTAATTTTGCACACAATTAATGTAATTATTTATATATATAATATATGAATATTAATTTTGTTATAATTTGTTTGTTTGGATAAATTATATCAATATATATATATGTATATATAGTATATATATAGTTTTGTGTGCTTTTTGTGTGTGTATAAAATTAATTGATGTATTGTTATACAAAAATGTTTTATCTCACACACACACAAACACACACAAAAATTATGATATAATTTATATAATGTTTATTTATTTTGATTTATTTTTGTCAACAATTTTTATGTGTTTTTTTAATATTGTAGTTGATATACAACCATAAAAAGTTTATTTATAAGATTATTAATATATTTTTTTTATCTACAATTTATTTTTCAATTTTATTTTTTTTAGTGCCAACCGTCCAATAATCTACTTAATTGTCCAGAAGGTAGAGTCCAGTTAATAATTGTGTGTAATTTTTGTGTATAATATATATATATACACAAAATATATATGTGATTGTGTTATACATGTGTGCCTTATTATTATACAATATTATAATTATAATAATATTACAATATATAATATAATTATTGTATAATAATAAGTTTTTTATGTGTGTGTGTGTGTGTGCAATGTTGTTGTGATTTTAAAATCAAATCAATTGCCGGATTATACTATTATTATTATTATTAATAAACATCTATCTTCCCAATTATCTATCTATAGGATGGCACCGGGAGGGTATAAATTGTTATAAATTTTTCAATATAAAGCACTCGTGGAGGAGAGCGGCTGAGATATGTAGACGGTAGGTGTTTCTCACTTTTTTATTTATATATATATATATATATATATATATAAAATTACTAACCATTAGACAGTATATATATATATATATATATATATATATATATATATATAGATATAGTAATATATAAAATGTCTAACAATTGTGTTGTTATTTTCAAGAGATTAAAGTAAAAAAATCTTACTTATTATTAGATAATATTAAAAAATTTAATGGTTTTTAATTTAGCTAATAATATAAATTACTAGTATAGTATTTATTTATACTTTATATGTATATATATTTATTGCATTTACACTATAACGTCTAGAAATTAATTATATATTACAAAACTGTATTTATGTAAATGAACAAGCTAAGTTTAATGTCAATGTCATGCTTTTCATATATATATATATATAATAAACAGTATTAATAAATAAAATATATATATAAAGGGCAACAAATGTTATATTAAGGTAGAGAGGGGGTCGACTCAAGCTTAAGGGCTCATAAAAAAATGTTTGTAGTTTCAAGAATTTACTAATATATATATATATATATATATATAAATGTATATATACAGTATATATAAATTAATATTTTTGCTAAACGTATATACTATGTATGTGCTTACTATTAATGGCTTTCAACTGTATATATATATATATATTACACTATATATATAAATGTGTATATATATATTTATATATATGAACTGTATATACAGTATATATATATATATATATGTATGTATTGAGGCAACATATTTTTAAAAAGTTTTTTCATTATTACTGGTTTGTCCGGTACGCTTGTAGCACTTGTATCTCTCTCTCTTAGCTTAGGTATTACTACTACTATTACTACTACCCAATACTACTGGTTTCTCTCTCTCTCTCTCTCTCTCTCTCTCTCCTGAAAACCTAAGAGAGATGACTTCTCTACCTCTTTAGCCAAAGTGAGTAAGACTTTTATATAGGAAAGAGTGTGTGTGTGTGTACTGAGAGAGAGAGAGAGAGAGAGAGAAGTGAAGAGACTACCTATCCTTGTCTACCATTCCTCTCTCTCTCTCTCTCTCTCTCTCTCTCTCTCTCTCTCTCTCTCAATAGCGTTCAGGTGTATAGCATTAGGTTATCAACCGGAATAAGAGTCAACATAACCTCCAACTACTACTACTACTACTACTACTACTACTACTACTACTACTACTTATTGAAGAAATATTTGTGATGTAATTGAATATATAAATATATACTATAATAAGCAATAAGATTGCAAATAATAAAAAAATTTGCAATTCCTGTATGTATGTGTACAGTGTGTGTGTGTGTATGTATGTATATCTATGTATGTGTTTACACACACACACACACACACACACATAGTATATAGACTTTATATATATCCCATTATAAACTAGTTTTATCATCAATAAGATGTCTCTCAATTTACTCATTTAAACAGTCAATCACTTACTCACTCACTCACTCACTCACTCACTCACTCACTCACTCACTTAAACACATCACTTAAAATCAAAAAATAAAATAAAACAGAGTACCGGTCAGGGATCGGGTCATTAGCAGGGATATGGAGTGAGTGAATGAGAGAGAGAGAGAGAGAGAGAGAGAGAGAGAGAGAGAGAGAGAGAGAGAGAGAGCACCTATTTATTAATAATAAGACAAATAATTATTGCAAAATAATTTTTTTTAATTTATAATATTTTCTGTTTTGTTAGTATTATTTCTAAATAATATAATACAATACACAATATATATACAGTATATACAGTACATACCGGTATATATATATATATATATATGTACTGTATATAAATTGTTATATAAATTATTATTGCTTGTTTGATATATGTGACTGATTGAGATTTTGCACACAAAAAAAATATAATAATAATAATAATAATAAAACTATAAATTATTTGCTATTGTTTTCTGGGAAAGTATTATAAAAATATAATTTATATTATCTCTATATACTGTATATATATATATATATCTAAAAACATTTTTGTTTAAAAATTTTTATTATGTTAGTCATGTTAGTTAAAAAATAATTTTTTTAGTTATAGTTAGTAATCTATACATTTAAATACAATCATAATCAAAAACACACAAAAAAATTACATAAATATAATTTTGCTATAGTTTTTTATATAAAGTTTTTTCGGGGGGGGGGGGAGGGGTAATCATTTCAACATTAAATTACTGATATTTGAGACAATTTGTGTGTTAAACTAAAAAATAAATAAATAAATAACTATTGATATATAATATATAGTACACCTAACCTAACAACAAAAAACAACAACAAAATTGTTAATCGAATATTAAATAATAATAATAATAATAATAATAACAAATAAAACACATTATATATATATCAGTACATAACTAAACATATTATATACAAACAAACAAACAAAATAAAAACTAAACTATTTTATAGACATTTGATTTCAATAGTGACATAAAAACATAATTTGATTCATTTTACACTAGTTTTTATATATTTTTATTATACTATACTATATCACACACACACACACACATAAAACAATGTTTGTTTAAAACTATACTAATAATAATAATAATGAATCTGAAAAAAATAAACATAAAGTATAATATCATTATTTATTATATATATATATATTTAAACTGTAGTGTATTTTTTATGATAATAATGTTAAGACATATTAATTTTTTGGGTCAATCATTGAGACATGTAATGTATTCAATGTATAATAAACCAAATAAAAAATATTTAATACAATATAAGTTTAAGGGATAGAAAAAAATAAATACAATTATATTAAACAACAACAATAACTAAATGCAAAAAAAATAAATATATTATTTTTTAATTTTATTTATGCTATGAAAAAAACCCTTTTTCCAGATATTAAGTATTGAAATATAATATCTCCATATAATTGTTGAAATGTTTTTTAAAAATATATATATATATATAATAAATATATGTTAAGAAATAAAATAAATAACTAACTAGTATTCACATAATAATATTATTTATTATTTAATGCTTTAAAAAAAATATTAAGTATGTTTAGGAAATATTTTATATAAATAAATATAATATATATATATATATATTTAGTTTTATTTATTTAAAAATTGATTTTATTATGTATTTTTAATAAAAATATTTTTTTATAGAATTTAGAAATTATTATTTTATTTTTATTTATTTTATTATTTCCATTGCATTACATTTAGGTTTTAATATAAAAATTTTTCAATTGAGAAATAAAAACAACAAAAATTTTTTAAAAATATAAATAAATTTATATATATATATATATATATATAAAACTTGATTTTAAGTTAATTTCAAAGTCTTGACATGACTTTAATTTATATCAAAAAAAAGTCTATATTTAAAAATATTTCAATTTGAGGCCAAAAAAACAAAATTTATTATTAGTTAAACAATTTTTATTATTATATATATATATATATATATCATATATATATCTTTTTTGTTGTTTTAGCTGTTTTTAAATGCCAATAGATTAGAGAGAGAGAGAGAGAGAGAGAGAGAGAGAAATCAAATAATTATATCAAAGTAATATACTATAGATTTTATTTCTATACTATATTATCATTGAATAAATTTATAATAAAAATTATAATCATTTTGGCTATAATATTGAAATAATTATTTTGTGTAAAATAAAAATAAAACAACAAAAACAACAAAAAACACCAGAAAAATCTCAATTCAATGTGTGTGTGTAATAAATGTCGGTATAATTATTAGCAAATATATATATATATAAAATTAGAAAAAAACTAATAATATATTATTTTTGTATAATTTTTTTTTTAAAAATAAAAAAGTTTATATATTATACCGGTATATAAACAGTGTATATATAATGTATAGCAATATATTAAGGGCTAATATTTGTTGCGATGATTAAGCCTTTCGATTAAATTACTATTAAGTGCCAGTAATTTCATATCACGTTTGTATGTGTGTGTGTAATGTACTGTATATACTGTATAGTATGTGTAGTGTACAGTACAAGTCAATGGTATGGGGATGTCATGTATATCCCGGTGCCGTTAGGCATGCTTATAGCCTTTCGTAACCAAAAATCAATGGCTAAACTATTTTAATCGCTTTAACTCTCCTCATCATAACCTATCAAAAATATATTCAGTGAATATGACTATTATTCACACATACATACATAGATACAGTACATACTGTACACATAGTTGCAAATATATTCACACATACATACACTGTACATACCAGTGCTATTGATGACCAAAAGACTATTGGCAATACAGGTATGCATTGCACAGTGTGTGTGTGTGTGTGTTGACAGTTAATTACAGTTAAAGGGCATCTAAATAATAATTATAATAAAAATAAATATAGGAAAAGCTAACATTTTATTATTAGTAAATACAATAAAAATAATTTATTTTTTAAAAAAAGTATTTATTAATACTTAAAATAATAATAATACATATTATATAGTAAATTGTATATACAGTTTAAACTGGTAAACTCTAATAATATACAGTTTAGTTATTAAGTTAATAATAAATAATAATAATATTATAATAATTTAATACAAAATATTTAGTTATAGTTTAAAATAAAAACTAATTGTCAATTTAAAGGTTGAAATAAACCAGTAGTTAACTAACATATAATAATAATAATAATAATTATTATTAATACAATATTATTAAGTAATTATATTTATTAATATATATTTTTTTAAAATTAATTATGTATTTATAACCAGATATGGCAGCGAATTGGCGCTGATCTCCGACTACACTCAAAACAATTTTACCATTGATTTGGCGAACCAGTGGCTCAAGGATGACACTACTGGCCAATCATTATCGTCATCGTCATCGTCAACAACAACTAGTCGTACCTCATTCTGGATAGGATTCCAGTCTATCGACAACCTATCGACAAATACACTGGAATCGGCTTCCGGTCGGTTTGTTAGCAAATATGTTGGCTTCTGGTTACCGGATGAACCGAATACCCGACACGGCGAATGTGTCCGATCGACATTGGCCGATTGGTCATCGGCATCATCGTTGGCTATCGGCCCGGGATTTAGCAGCAGTACATCATCGTCATCATCATCAGCACTGGCTGCTGGTAGTGGTGTCGACAAAAACCAGCAGACCTGGGAGATGGCCCCCTGTGAAGACCTATTGCCGTTTGTTTGCCAAAAGCAGACCTGTCCGACAGGTAACGACATCATCATATCGTTTTTTTTATGACTTCCCTTATATATATATGACATCTATCTAACTATCTATATGTCGTGTCTTCAAATGATGAAGACTTTATCGACAAACAGAGAGGAAAAAAATGTTTTTTTGTTTTTTATTATTTCTTCTTCAAAAAAGAAGACAATCAAACAATCTTTCATTTATTTTATTTTATTTTATTTGTTTGTTTGTTTGATTTGATTTAATAGTATAGTCTATACAGTACTAACCAAACACACACACACACACACACACACACACACACACACACACACAACCAACTACTTCCCTATTATTTTTTTTCCAGTAAAATAAATGACATACCAGTGCCGTAGTTTAAACCACAACGATTGTGTGTTAGGTTATTGTTTGATGATGTGATGATAATCTTAAGAGAGATTTAAATCTCTAACAATATATATATATATGTATAATATTTTACTTATTATTATTATTATTGTTAATAATAATAATAATATTGTAATTATTAAACTTTTTAAAGAGTTTACTCTCCTTATTATTATATTATTATTATTGCATAGTTAGAGGTTTTCATCATAGAGATAGCATATATTTATATACACGGCACCGGTATTTAAAACCTACCTGTACTCTCTATACAAATATTACTACAGATTATTAATAATAATTTTAAAAAAACTTAATGTGTCTAGTTAGAAATTAACAAACAAACAAAAAATATATATACACTTTGAAAAAACTATTTGATATTTGATTTATCTATTTATTTAAACTTTTAAACACTTTTTTTTGTTGTTGAAAACGTTTCAAACGCACCGTTAGGCTCCTATCACTGTTCAAACGGCAAGTGCGTCAACAGTGCATTCAAATGTGACGGTCAGGACGATTGTGGCGATAAATCGGATGAAACTGACTGTCCCCGCAAATGTCATCACTATCTACAAAGTTCGGGCGATAAAGTAGTCTCACCTAACTATCCGAATCGTTACGATCCGAACTCGGACTGCAAATGGACACTCGAAGGTCCGATCGGTTCGGGTATGATCTTACAGTTTGCCGAATTCGATACCGAAGCCAACTTCGACACTGTCCAGATACTGACCGGCGGCCGAACTGAGGAATCGTCGGTAAATTTGGCCACTTTGTCGGGTCATCAGAATCTTAGTTCGCGTACGTTTACCACCGGTTCCAATCTGATGATTGTTAAGTTCAAGTCGGACGCCGGTGTCGAAAAACGCGGGTTTCGGGCCTCATGGAAAACCGAACCGATCAAATGTGGCGGCGATTTGTACGCTACACAGGCCGCCCAAGTGATAACATCGCCGCTATATCCCGAACCCTATCCGGGTGGCTTGGAATGTGTCTATGTTATTGGTGCTGCACCGGGCAAAACGGTAACCTTGGAAGTGGTCGAACTGGATCTGGAACCGTCCCGCGACTACATAAGCGTACGCGACGGTTCCGGTTCGACCAATTCATTGTTGGCCAAACTAACTGGCAATTTACGGGACACCAGCAACCGTTATATCGTATCGACTGGCAATAAAATCTATTTGTATTTCTATACGGGTTTCGGCGGTAACAGTGGCCAAGGTTTTGCCATACGCTATCGGGCCGGCTGCGAAATCGAGTATACAGCCGAAGCCGGTAATGTGACGTCACCGGCTTACGGTGTTACCAAATATCCGCCCAATCAGAACTGTGCCTATCGACTGGCCCGGCCAACGGGCGCACACGGCGGTTCATTGTCCATTATATTCAACGATTTCGATGTGGCCGCCGACGATTCCCTGCAGATCTACGACGGCCAGGACACCAACGGTATACCGTTGCACCCGTCGCGTGGTTTCTCAACTAAAACCAAACCCCAGGGCCTGACATTGTCGGCATCGTCCGGCAAAATGTTAATACTTTTCAAAAGCAATGCAATGACTGCCGGAAAAGGTTGGTCGGCCAGTTTTTCGGCCGATTGTCCACCGTTGAAGATCGGTGCCAATGCTGTAGCATCGACCAGGGGTACAATGTTTGGCGCTCGGGTTAACTTTACCTGTCCTACCGGCCAGGAGTTTAGCAATGGCCAAACAAAATTGATGACCGAATGCCAACAGGGAGGCCAGTGGACGCTTGGTACGATTCCCGACTGTCAGGAACGGTACTGTGGACCGGTTCCGCAGATTGATAACGGTTTTGCCGTTGCATCGACCAACGTTACCTATCGGGGAACGGCTACCTATCAGTGTTACGCTGGTTTCGCTTTTCCGTCGCAAATGCATACGGAAACAATCAGGTGTACCGACGACGGCAAATGGGAACGCCTACCACTATGTCTGGCCTCGTCGTGTCCACAGTTGCCGGAAACACCGAACGCTATCCAACACGTTATGACCGGCGGCAACAACCGAAGCTATAGTTACGGTACGATCATACGATTCGATTGTGAACCCGGCTATCATCGACAGGGAATACCGGTAATTGCCTGCACATCGGTTGGCCAGTGGTCAGGACTGCCGCCTACTTGCGAACGGGCACAGTGTCATCTGTTGCCGACCATTGAATACGGTTTTCTAGTGGACACCCAACGCAAGTATCTGTTCGGCGACGAAGCCCGGGTCCAGTGTAACAAAGGCTACAAACTGGATGGACATCCGGTTATTAAGTGCGGACCGAATCAGACGTTCGATAATCTGCCGAAATGTCGCGATCAGGACGAATGTCTTTCATCGTCGGCCTGCGATTTGGCCTCAACTCAGTGTTCCAATACTAACGGCGGCTTTTTCTGCAAATGTAAGGACGGTTTCGAACCGAATCTAAACTGCCGGCCCGTATCCGATCTTGGGTTGGCTACCGGTGCCATACCCGATACGGCCATCAAAGTTTCGGGTACGGAAAGTGGGTACAAAAAAAGCGATATCCGACTGGACGCTCAACGCGGTTGGTGCGGTTCGGTGCCGCGTGTCGGCGAAAACTATGTCCAAATTGATTTGCGGGCACAGACCGTCATACGTGGTTTCCGTATACAATCGGTYCARCGACTCGACAATACGCAGGCCTATCCGATAACCGTTCGGCTACAACACGCCAACGAACTGACCGATTTGTTTCGCGACTATTCCGATCTRTCCGGACGACCCGTACAGTTCCGGTTGGCACCGAACGGCGGCTCCGGGCTATCCATTGTCAACTTACCGATACCGTTGGAGGCACGCTATGTCCGATTGTTGGTCATGGAATACGCGGTCGCTCCGTGTATGCGCTTCGAGCTGATGGGCTGTTCCCGACAAGATTGTATCGATATTAATGAATGTCTGGATAAAAACGGTGGGTGCGATCAACGTTGTGTCAACAGTCCCGGCGGTTTCAATTGTGTCTGTAATATTGGCTACGAATTGTTTACGTCGAACGGTACGGCCGGCTACGATATAGCCGTTAGCGAAACGGGTGTCCGCGATGGCGACCTGTTTCGTATGAACAAAACTTGTGTACCGAAACAATGTCCGCCGTTGAAGTCGCCGKCSAACGGCAAACTATTGTCCACWAAAYYKAAGTATCATTTCGGCGATTTTGTTAACTATCATTGCGATTTCGGTTACGTAATGGTTGGCCAACCGACACTCATATGCGGCTCGAATGGCCAATGGAACGGATCGGTACCCGAATGTGTCTATGCCCAGTGCCAGATGTTTGGCGACGACAGTGGCCAAGGATTGCGCATCACTCACGAAACGGCAGCCGCTGGCGACAAATTCATACCCTATCTGAGCAACGCTACCGTCCAGTGTATGGAAGACGGCCGACCATTGAGAGGAACGTCAACTGCCAGTTTCCGACAGTGTGTCTACGATCCGAAGGAAGGCAAACATGATTTCTGGCTATCAGGTCTGACGCCTACCTGTCCCCGATTGGATTGCGGCGCACCAGTCGAGTCAAACGGTGCGTCCTATGGTTTCTATGCCGATACCCGATATAAGGCATCGTTTTTCTTCGGCTGCGACGAAACGTTTACATTGGGCGGTAAAACCGAGAGGTCGGACAATGTTATCCGRTGCGGACCACAGGGTAACTGGGATTTCGGTGACCTCMGATGCGAAGGACCTGTCTGTGCCGATCCCGGTCATCCACCCGACGGYCAACAGTTGGCCACTAGCTAYGAACAAGGATCCCAGGTATCGTTTACCTGTGACCGACCCGGTTATGTGCCCTATTCGACGGATCCGATTACTTGCCAGAAAAATGCCGACTGCCGGGTAATTCGACCGGTCGGTTTGGCCAGTGGCCAGATTCCCGATACGGCTATCAATGCTACGTCCCAGCGAAGCAATTACGAGGCCAACAAAATACGTATGAATTCGGCTACCGGTTGGTGCGGACAACACGAACCGTTTACYTACGTTACCGTTGATTTGGGTAAAGTCTACCGAATTAAGGCCCTACTGGTCAAGGGTGTAGTGACCAATGATGTTGTCGGCCGGCCTACGGAACTCCGATTTTTCTACAAAGTTCGTGAATCTGAGAATTTTGTCGTCTATTTCCCGAATTTCAATCTGACCAGCCGAGAACCGGGCAACTATGGCGAACTGACTGTCATACCGCTGCCGGTTTCGGTTACCGCCCGTTACATCATATTGGGAATCGTTTCGTACAACAAGAATCCGTGTCTGAAGTTCGAGATTATGGGCTGCGAGGACACCAAAGAAGAGATACTACTCGGCTATGATAACGGCTATCCGATTTGTGTCGATCAGGAACCGCCACATTGGGTCAACTGTCCGGCCGGTCCGGTAATTGTTACGAAAGGTCCGCAGGGACTGATGCCCGTCAACTATACCATACCGACACCTGTCGATAATTCCGGTTACGTGGCCCGACTCGAAGTCCGGCCGCTCGGTTTCAAACCGCCACAGATTGTCTTCGAAGATATGATTGTCGAATACTATGCCTACGATTCTGATGGTAATGTTGCTGTCTGTGCCGTCAACATAACGGTTCCCGACGAAACACCGCCATCATTGTCGTGTCCGCCGTCCTATACCATTGATTTGAGTGAACAACAGGACTCTTTGTTTGTCAACTTTAACGATACTCGACGACTGATCAATGCTACCGATGAATCGGGTGACGTACGCATACAACTGATACCCGAATCGGCTGTCATACCACTCAAAGGTTATCGTAACGTATCGGTTGTGGCCACCGATCGTTTCGGTAACGAAGCCATCTGTCACTTCCAAGTATCAGTTCAGCCGCAAACATGTGTTGCCTGGGCTTTGGACCAGCCGGCCAACGGTGTGGTCAACTGTATGCCAAACGATGCCTCCACCGGTTACCGCTGTTCGGCTACTTGTGATCCCGGCTATCGGTTCATTGATGCCGATCCGGTCAAACACTACGAATGTTCCACTGGACAACCGTGGACACCGACAGCCATTATACCCGATTGTGTACCCGAAGAYACCAACCAAGCTTCGTACGATGTGATTGCACAGATCGAGTACCGATCGGGCGGTTTCGCACCGCCGGCCTGTATGCAAGCCTACGTCAACTACGTCTCCGGTTTCTACCCGACCCTCAATCAGGTACTCAGCGACCGATGTTCGGCAATCAATGTCCAGATGGCCATAATGTTCTTCAACACTACAATAACCATCAAACCGGATACCAATGCCCTATCAGTCGAGTATATACTACGTATAGCACCGGCCGTTCCGTCAACAATGCTCTACGATCTGTGCGGTTCTACGCTGGGCTTGATCTTTGACCTATCAGTGCCGTCAACGTCGGCCATCATTGAACCACTGTTGAACATATCATCGCAACAAGTAGGCGGTTCATGTCCATCACTACAGGCTCTGCGGTCACATGTGGTTCGGGGATTTACTTGTGTACCGGGCGAAATACTCAACACCAACAACAATGCTACCGGTGCTACAGTAGCCGTACCCCGTTGTCTACACTGTCCGGCCGGTACGTTCGCTTCGAAAGACATGCATATCTGTACGGAATGTCCGCGCGGTTGGTATCAGGACTCGACACGCGAGGCCAGCTGTCGTCAGTGTCCCGACGGTACCTATACACGTGACAAGGGTAGTAAATCCTTAAGCGATTGTATACCAGTGTGCGGTTACGGTACCTATTCGGCTAGCGGTCTGGTGCCGTGTCTACAGTGCCCGATGAACAGCTACTCGGGTCAGCCGCCGGCTGACGGTTTCAAAGAATGTCAGTCGTGTCCGCAAAATACGTTCACCTATTCGTCCGGTTCGACCATTATTAACGAATGTCGGGTAAAATGTCCGGCCGGTACCTATTCCGAGACYGGTCTGGAACCGTGCGCTCCCTGTCCGACAAATTATTTCCAAGAAAAAGAAGGTCAAACCCAGTGTCGCGAATGTCCGGGCAAAGAACGTACCCTACGTCCCGGTGCTTTGAGTCACGAAGCCTGTACGGCCGGATCCTGTTCGTCGCATACCTGTCACAATGGTGGCGTATGTCTGGTACTCAATCACGAACCTACTTGCTATTGTCCGGCCGGTTTTACCGGACCCCAATGCGAATCGGATATCAATGAATGTCAATCGGAACCGTGCTACAATGGCGGTACATGTGTCGACCATCCCCAGGGCTACCAGTGCAAATGCCCGGTCGGCTATTCGGGTCTRCAGTGCCAACTGGCCCGCAACGACTGCCAYAACGATACCTGCCCGGAAAAAGCCATGTGCAAAGATACGCCCGGTTTGGGTAACTACGAGTGCTTGTGTCGATCCGGTTACGAGGGCCGGTCGTGTAATATAACCATCAATCCGTGTACGCACGGCGACCGAAATCCGTGCGAAAACAGTGGCCAATGTGTACCCCTGCAACAGGGTCGCTACCGGTGCGAGTGTCCAGCTGGCTGGTCGGGCCGAAAATGTGAACTCAATATCGACGACTGTGCCGAAGAACCGTGTCTACTGGGTGCCAACTGTACCGATTTGGTTAACGATTTCAAATGTGACTGTCCCCCAGGGTTCACCGGTAAACGTTGCCATCAGAAACTGGATCTGTGTGCCGGTAGTCCCTGTTTGAATGGGCTGTGCGTCGATCGGCTGTATCATCACGAATGTATTTGCCAGCCCGGCTGGACAGGTAGCAAATGTGAAGTCAACGTCGATGAATGCGTGTCGGATCCGTGCGAAAATAATGGCGAATGTATCGATCTGGTAGATAGCTACCGGTGCGTATGCGACAGTGGCTATACAGGATCCCGGTGCCAACATCAGATAGATTCCTGCGAATCCAAACCGTGTCAAAATGGTGGCTCCTGTTTCGATCTAATTGATGGTTTTATGTGCCAGTGCAGGCCAGGTATGTTTTTTTTTGTTGGTTTTATCTAACTGTGCTAATTATATGTWTATCAYATTTATATWGAAAAAAATAATTATCAGTTATATTAATATTGCAATTAAAATTAATTATAGAAATTATGATATTTTTGTTTAGTTTTTTAATTACCGATTAATGTGGGAAATATTATTTAGTTTATCTATTTGTTGATTAATATCCCACACAATAACTATTTATTAAATAAGCTAGGCAAATTTTATATATAATTAATATTGATTTATTTTTTATTTATTTAAAAAAATAGTTTACAATTTATTTGAATTTAATTAATAATTATTAATAGCAAACAAACAAAAAATAACATAAAAATATCTTATGTTGTAAATAATTTGAATATAATAATAATATAGATTAAAAAAAATTTTGAGGTTATTTATTGAAAGTCATAATAATAATAACGTATAATAACTCCATGAGCTGATAGCATACCAGTGCCCCCCATATAGTATCTGATTTTCATATTATAATATTTAATTAAAGTTAAAACAAAATTATTTTAAAACAAAAAAAACTATTTTTCAATTTTATTATACAGTATATCATATACTGTAAATAATTTTTTTTTCTATAATTATATCTAACTGTCCACACAAATACACACTAGAGAGCGAAAAGTTTCGGACCCGTACCTGACCCGTACCTGATCTGATACCTAAAATCTCGGACTCGGACCTGACCTAACATAGGGTACAAATTTACCTGACCTGACCTGACCTGACTATGTCTGTCCGAAAATAATTTTATCAAAAAACAATTTTATTTATTCTATACCCGCAACAAATTTCTCTAAATTAACTTTAATTACTCGGGATTAACGATAACTGATCGTAGATCTAACTTAGATTCTAATAAAGTTAATATGTTATTATTTATTAGATCAAAACCATCATCTTTTGTAATATTTTATGTTTAATTTATACAAATATTTTATAAATAATAATTTAATAAATTTTGTGTTTGATTGTCATATTTTGTAATAATTGTCGTTTAAATAATGAATAAAAAATTTTCGGACCACACACACACACACACACACACACACACACACACACACACACACACACACACACACACACACACACACACACACTCACTCACTCTAATAAATATACTGTATATCAATCAATCTATAGGTTTTGTTGGACTTCAATGCGAGGCCGAAGTTGATGACTGTGTCAGCAATCCGTGCCATTCGCCGGGCACTGAACGTGTGTCGATCAGGACAATAGCTACCGATGCGATTGTCATACTGGGCTTCTCSGGTGAACTGTGCGAAATCAACGACAACGACTGTGCCAGTARTCCCTGTCTGAATGGTGGCACCTGCTCCGAYGCTATCAACGGTTTCAAGTGTGCCTGTCTGCCCGGTTGGTCYGGCCAACGATGCGAAGCCGATATCGGCCAGTGCGAGTCCAGTCCGTGTCATAACGATGCCCGCTGTGTCGACCTATTCCAGGATTACTTTTGCGTTTGTCCGTCGGGTACCGACGGTAAACGTTGCCAGACATCAGCCTCARCGTTGTATCGGCAATCCGTGTCAACACGACGGCATATGCCGCGACTATGGTTCGGGTCTGAACTGTACCTGTCCGTCCAAATACTCGGGTGTCGGCTGCCAGTACGAGTACCGGGCTTGCGACGACAATGTATGCCAAAACGGTGCCACCTGTCTGGATCTGGGTATGGATAACGGCGGCTACAAGTGCCAGTGTCCGCCCGGCTATACCGGCCGTAACTGCCAGCACGATATCATTGACTGTACCCCSACWTCRTGYGCACCTACKGCTACCTGTATTGATCTGACTGGCGGTTTCTATTGTAAATGTCCGTTCAATTCGACCGGCGAAGACTGTCGTAAACCCATTAACATCGACTACGATATCTATATCAACGACGAAAGTCGATCGTCAAGYGCAGCCCTAACGGCACCGTTCGATCTAATGGAAGCCCAGAGCCTGACACTGGCCCTATGGGTACAGTATATTGAAGAATCTATTGGTACCTATTTTACACTCTATTCCGTCGATTCGGCTCATCTGCCGATCGGTAAAAAACCGCTWATCCGGGCCAACCATAACGGTATCTTTATATCGCTGTTCCCCGATCGRCTACCCGAYGTTTTCTTACCKTACCTCGAAAACGTACCGATCAACGATGGCCAATGGCACTACATTAATGTCATATGGGACGGCCGTGACGGTACACTGATGTTGGTTACCGATACGGCAGTWGCCGCTACTGTCAACGATTACGCYGTSGGTATGAGTTTGCCGGCGTACGGTTGGGTCAATTTGGGCGCACCGTTGGACGACAAAAACAAAGCSGAAACTGGTGCCGGTTTTCAYGGCCGYCTATCCCGTGTGAACCTATGGAATCGGGCACTGGACATGAGCCAGGAGATACCCTCACAGATTAGGTCGTGYAAAAATGCRCCGGTATTGTTTGCCGGCCTATTGCTCCGGTTTACCGGCTATGACCGTATTGAGGGAACCGTCGAACGTGAAGGTCCCGGCCGTTGYGGCGAACGTGTGTGTCCRGTCGGCTACTCRGGYGACGATTGCCGTATATTGCAACAGGACAAGACGCCGCCCAGTGTCTTGCATTGTCCGCCCGATATGTGGATAATATCGGAAAATAGTTCRACAGTTGTCAACTGGGATGAACCRCAGTTTACCGACGACTTGCGGTCAGTACAGGTGCTCGAGTTGGAAAAGATCCGAAGTGGAGAAGCGCTGAAAAAGGGTACATACGATCTGAGTTATGTGGCSGTAGATGAATCGGGTAACAGTGCCCGCTGCGACTTCCAGGTRCACGTTGTCCGCGAATTTTGTCGTGTACCGGCAGCACCGGTAGGCGGCGAACGTGAATGTTCCGATTGGGGTCCGGGCGGCCGGTTCAAGGTATGCCGTATTAAGTGCAATCAGGGTCTATCGTTTTCCCAACCGATTCCCCGATTCTACGTATGCGGTGCCGAAGGTTTTTGGCGACCSAACGACGATACCGAACGGCCGCTGGTGTTCCCGTCGTGTGCACCAAAACATTCGGCTCAACGTATTTTCCGATTGTTGATCAATGTTCCGTCGGGCGTTGTCTGCAGCGATTCGGGTAAGAAAATCCTGACCTCCCGCGTGACCGACAGTCTCTTGCGTATTGACCGCTCGTGGAAGATATGTTCGGATCAGTCGCGCGGCGCCTGCAAAGGACTGGGCGTTAATGTCAAGTGTAGTAAACAACAGCCGRGTTTGTCGTCGTCATCAKCKGCACAGCCGTCGGCTGCACTGCGAGCCAAACGCAATCATCGTCRTCATCGGGTGGTGACAGAGGCGGCGGCAACGACTCGCCCGCCGACGACCAGGACGTCTATTCGATTGAAGTCGGTTTTCCGGCCAATAACGACCCGATTATCAATGCCAACACACAGGAAAAGGATAGCCTGGAGTCAATCATACGTAAAGCGGTCGCCGATAGTGCCATATTTGACGTACGCGACACACTGCCCAACGTATCGCCTGACCTACGATCGTTGCGTCTGATTACCGAATATGCCTGTCCGCCCGGTCAGGTAGTTATGGGCGACAGTTGTGTCGARTGCGGTGCCGGTACCTACTATGACGAACCCACCCAATCGTGTCAGAAATGTCCGATCGGTACCTACCAGAATGAACTGGGTCAGTTACAGTGTAAAAAATGCCAGCCCATCGGTGACGGCCGCCAGGGTGTGACCATAACTACTGGATCGCGTTCGCCGGACGAGTGTCGCGAACGGTGTAATAGTGGCCACTATTTTGATACACATCATTCCGGATGTCGTCCGTGCGGTTATGGTCACTATCAGCCGGCCGAGGGATCGTTTTCGTGTATATCGTGCGGTACTGGACTGACCACCCGAAGCCAGGAAGCTATTGCACAGCACGAGTGTCGACGTATGTATTGTTTTATGTTTTTTTTATAGATATCTATATATATATATAGGTTTCGGTAGTTTTTTTTCCGTYAAAAAAARAGTTTCAAAACTTATTTTTTGTTTATTTCCTYAACAATAAACAGCCGAATGTATGCCCGGTTTCCAACTGTCCTCTAATGGCAACTGCGAGGCCTGTCCTATTGGCCACTACCGAACCCGTGGACTGCCGTCGTGCGARCAATGTCCRCAAGGTTTTACTACCGGTTCGATGGGCGCGGCAACACCGCAACAATGTAATCTAGGTATGTATTYCAGTGGATGGATAGTATGGATGACAATCACTACCATCWCCATACYTGTCCATTAGATAGATAACTCATAATTTTKKTATATATATAYATATATATAGAAATCTGTGCCGTCGGCCACTATCTGAACGCATCCAACGACGAATGTACGGCCTGTCCGAAGGGCACCTACCAGGACGTCGAACAACGGGACTCGAGTTGCCAGTCGTGTCCACCGAATTCGACTACCGACGGTGTTGGCCATACATCAGTGGATCAGTGTAGCAATCCGTGTATAATCAACGACAAAATGGAATTGTGTCCACCGAATAGCCAGTGCGAGGCGCCTACCGGTGCCAATGAGGACTTCCGTTGTGTATGCAAAGAAGGGCTACAAAGAGCTAATGACGGCCAACGAAGTCAACTATCCTCACTGTGTAAACATATGCGACGACTACTGTATCAATGGTGGCCGCTGTGAATGGTCGCCGGGTATGCGTAAACCCCGGTGCGATTGTCTGATTAATTTCTATGGCGACCGCTGCGAACGCAAGTCCGAGCTTATCTATATTGCCGGCGGTATCGGTGCCTCCGTATTCTTCATCATATTCATTGTCCTACTCATATGGATGATATGCGTACGTACGGGCACTCGGCCACTGACCAAAAAGATGTCCGTCCATACYATACCAACCGATTTTGCMCCGACACCCGGTCCGCAGCCGAACTTCTATTACGGATCGCCGGCACCGTATGCCGAGTCGATAGCACCGTCGCATCACTCGACATACGCCCACTACTATGACGATGAAGACGACGGCTGGGAAATGCCTAACTTCTACAACGAAACCTATATGAAGGAAAGCCTACACAATGGCAAAAGTAATGGCTCAACATTGCAGGGTATCAGCAATCCGGCCTCAGTTTACGGTACCAAAGAAGATCTGTACGATAGGCTCAGGAAACACCAGTATTTAGGCAAAAAAGGAGGTATGTATTCCATACGACTGTCCCTCGAGAGCTAACTAACAGTCCCCATCACTAACTAATCATATGTTTTTTGTTTTTTTCATAATTTTTTAGACACAACGAGTGATAGTGAAGATCAGGGAAATTGAAACTACTATTTAATTTAAGTTTTTTTAAAATAAGTAATAATAATAATAATATTTTTTTTATTAATTTAATAAATAATTCATACATACTATACATATACATACAAATAAAAAAAACTTAATTTATTATTATAATAATTAGATTTTAATTAATTTATACATATATGAGAGATATTTTTTTATATTTATAAAAAAAGCATTTATTTATATTATATTATTTTTTTTTTTGATATATACAATCGTATACAAAGATATTAATAATAATAATAATAACAATACTATCTATATATTTATAAATATATATATATAATTAAAATCAACTAAAAAAAATTATTATTGAATCAATTGAGAAAAAACAACAACAATTAGTTTTAATTATATAATTATATTTTTTTTTATATAAAACGGGAATTCATAAAACAGAAAAAATTTTCGCTCAATTGAAAGTGCATTAAATTTATACATAATTTTTTTACAACAAATAATAATTATTAAATTTTTTAAAAATWATGAATTATTATTTACCTAAATATTTACGGTATACTTATACTTATATATAAAACGCAGTTAAATACAAACAAAATAATCAATTAGTCAATTAAATATATATATATATATATTTAAATTATTTATATAAATATATATCAATAATAATAATAATAATACAAACAAATTAGTAATAAATTTTTGTTATCCTATATAACACAACACACAAACACAATAACTGCCTGACATGTATTGATTAATTAAAAACAAAATTTTTTATAATAATAATTTATTATAATTATATAACGTTTTTTTTAAAAAATGTTTTATTTCTATGGTCATCATAATTTCATTGTCTTTTTTTATTTAAAAAAAATATTATTATTATTATTTATCATAAAATCAAATCAACAATTTTTTGTTTGTGTTTGTTTGTAACCATTGTTTTTGTGTTTGATATTATTTTTTTTGTTTGTTTTATTATAAATAATAATAATATTTCACATTAATTGCCATAATTACTAAGCATCTCATAAATATATATATATATATATAATACACAAAAAACATATAATTGAATTCATTGACAGTAAAATTCAAACTAAATTAAATTTTACATTTAATTTCCTCAAAAAAACAACAAAATTATTTATTTATTATTTTTGTTTATTTATAAAAAAAACTATATTTCTATTACATTAAATGTTACCATAATTATTGAATGTATTTATTTATATAATAATAATAATAATATTAAATTAAATTTTTGTTTGTAAACACTAAACTAATTTTTTGTTTTGTTTTTAAATCATCGCAAGATTTAATATATATATATATATAAATATATATATATATTTACAGATCATTACATTTAGGGATAAATTGTTTTTGTTTTTTATTTTGCAAAAAACTTGTCGTTTTTATTATTATTATTATTAGTAATAATTTTTTTTGTTTTATTGTGTATTTATTTTGTTGGCTTAAAAAAAATTAAAATAAAATAATTTTGTCCATATTTATGTAATAATAATTTATATAATAGTTCATAACAAATAATTTTCTATAAAAAATAAATAAATAAAATATAATTTTTTGAAACAAACAAAAAATCACCAAAATTTTTCTCTGATTTTATCTTTCATTGTATTGTTTTTTATTTATTAATTTTATTATTATTATATTATTTAATTAATTTTTTACTGTATTTTTTGTTTGTTATTTTTTTAGCTAAATTTGATTAATTTTGATAATTATATATATATATATTGTATTTTTTAAGTGTATATTTAATTTATAATTAAATATTAAAAGTTTTAATTATTACACGTTTATTGGGTAATATTTTTTTACTTAACTCTCTCTCTCTCTCTCTCTCTCTCTCTCTCTCTCTCTCTCTCTCTCTCTCTCTCTCTCTCTCTCTCTCTCTCTCTCTCTCTCTCTCTTATAAATCTAATTTTTTTTATATAATTAACATATTATTTCCATATTTATACTGTATTACTATATACTATATTAACTTATAATATTAAAAAATATATATATAATAATAAACAATGATTTATTGCACGATTGAGGGTGTGTTGGCTTCAATGCAAGTATTAATACATTTATTTTTTTTATGTTATGATTTGAATTGTTGTTGAAATAAGATTTTTAATGAAAATTTATATAATACTTAATCTCTTTTTTCTGTATAATACTGTATATATACAGTATATTTATAAAAAAACATAAAATTATTTATATTGCTCTGATTTTGTCATAAATTTTAATACATTTATTATTATTATTTTAATAAACAATTTATTTTAATATAGTTTTTAAAATACTGTATATATATATTTTATATTATATACTTTATATGGTTTTTTTCATAAACATAAGTTTTAGAAAAGTTTATTATTTTGTAAACTATTAATCTAAATAAAAGTGTATATAATTTTATCTCATTTTAATTCAACAAAAAAAAACACTAAATAATATATCCATTTATAAACAATAAGTAATTTCATTGAACAACGTATTTAGATATAAGGTTAGCTAAAAATTTATTTAGCTTTTTTAGATTAATGTTTGAAATACATATATATTGTGCCAAAAAATTATGTTTTTTACACATAATAAGAAATAAATCAAATAATAATAATACAGAAAAATATATACAAGAAAATGAAAATTTTATAAATTATTTTTGTTGTTAACAAAAAATTATATATAAAATAATCTAAAATTAGTTGTATTATTAAGAAAATAAAATTGAATTTCAATTATAGAAAAATAAGTACAAAATTAAATAAATAAATAACTAAAATAATATTTTTGCAAAATTAACTTTAAAGTGGATATTTTTTTATTTTTATAACTAAACTTTTTATATAATTTGACGTTTTTTATCATTATTTATAGTTTACACACCGTATATATATATATATATATATATATATATATATATATATATATAGTATATATTATATAAACACATAGATATTAAATTTGTAATTAAATTTTTCTCATTTTAAATAATATTATATATAAAATCATATGATATTAACAACAACAAAAAATATTTTTTAATTTTTATTATTTTTTCTAAAATTATAATTATAATTTTGTTTTGGTTCACATAAACTATACATATATATACACAGTATATATATATATAAGATTAGACTTTCAATTGTCTTTTCCGTGAATCATATATTATTTTAATGATGATTATAATGGTTAAACAATTTAATAATAATAATAATAATAATAGTTATAATTATAAACAAGTATTTTGTATTGTGTATAATATGTAACAAAATTTTGTTATTTTTGTTGTTGTTATTTTAAAAAACTTTAATTATGATATTTAATACTATATATACTATTTAATATATATATATATATATGAGATCAGGTTTAATATGGTTTTATTTTTTTGTTTGTAAAAAATAATCCATTATATATACATTATACCATCAATTATGTATTTTTAACAAAAAATAAATAACATTAATATATTTTTGTTAGAAATAATTATTATTTTAAAATTATAAAAATCTTTTTAATAATAATAATAATAATATTAATTAATAAATAATAAACTTTTTATATAAAATGAAGATTATGTTTATAATACTAATTATTGATATATAATTATACTGTATATATATATATATATATATATATATATATATATATATATATATATATATATATATATATATATATATATATCAGATACTGTATAAACCGGAATATTATATATCATATTTATAATAGTTTTGTATGAGTTTATAAAAAATGTATTTTTATTAAATATATTGTTTTTATTTTTGTTTGTTAGTCACAATTGACTGAACCGACAGTTCAATTATCAATAGGTTTTTTTTGTTGTTATGATGTCATGGTTTGTCAATTATAGACAGTTATCTAAAAAAATACATACAGTATATACCGTATAGTAGTACTAAATAATAATAATAATCAATCATTTTTTAAGCTATTGCTACTCTCTCTCTCTCTCTCTCTCTCTCTCTCTCTCTCTCTCTTTCTCTCTCTCTCTTGAATTTAATTAAATAAAGAATAAATAAATGTATATATATTTGTAAAAATAACTATTACAATGATGTTTAAACATTAATTCAATTTTTTTTAAACATATACTATTTTTCTATAGAAAATAAATTTGTTGAAAAAAATGTTTTTTATTTTAAGTATATGTTAATAATAAATGCTATTTTAAAAAAATTACTGTTAAAACCAATATAAAAATGTTTGTTATTTATTTATTTTTTTGCCACTAATTATTTAAGATTTATTATTTCATTCAAAAATAACAAGCTATTGAATTAGTACATTATATACATTATATATATACTTAAAATTATAGTATTTAAAAAAAATGTTAATCACATATAATTTTTTATATACAGTATATTATAATAGATTAAAAATACTTTAAAATAACTGCATTTTTTAAAGAGAGAGAGAGAGAGAGAGAGAGAGAGATCTAAATAAAATAATAAAAGCATAATTTGATTTACAATTAGTTTAAAAAAAACATAAAAAACAATTTTATGGGTCGACTATTGAAGACGTTTTTTTTTAAAAAACGTATAAAAAATATATTCAATATATTCAACACATAATTAATAGATTATATATATATATATATAATATTAGTAACTTATTTTGAATTTAAATGAGCATTTAATTTGTTAGTTTTTTTTTGTTGAAAATATCATACTATGAATAAATACATAATTTTTTCACATTTAATAAATATAAAACGCGATATTACAGGTAATAATACTGTAATAATAATAATAATAATGTAGTTTTTTATACTAAACATGATAATAATTATAATCATAATAAGAATTTTTTAAATAGCTATTATTAATAATAATAACAAAAAATGACACCAATTTTTATTATCAGTTAAATTTTCACATACAAAATACAAAATTTTAAATACATATATAATACATTACATTTAGATATTATACATACAACCTGTGACATCAATGTGTAAA